TTATGCCACATTTTTTTTTTTTTTTTTTTTTTTTTAATGTGAATGAGTGTTTTGCCTGCATGTATATAAATATACCACGTGTGTGCAGTGACTGTGGAGGCCAGAAGAGGGCATCAGATCTCCTAGAACTCAAGTCAGGACCATTATTAGCTGCCATGTGGGTGCTAGGAACTGAACCCAGGTTCTCTGCAAGAGCAGCCAGTGCTCTTAACCCCTAAGCTGTCTCTCCAGCCCCTGACTGAGCATGTCTTGATTGAAATGAATACAGTTGTGTGAAACTGGGTCCTAGATCATCAAGGAAATGCAGTGTGGCACTCCCTGAGGAGTGTGGTTCAGATGGCCCTCTTTATGGACCTGTAGGGGATAGATCCTGTTCGGGAGGGAGTGTGGCCCTCCTGTGACCATCAGGTGTAGGTGACTGCTTGCAGAGAAGTATGGTGTCTGACCCCCAGGTCCCTGTATCTGTAGCTCAAGCGGAGTCGTTAGTGAGAGGCCACAGCTTCCTGTGTGAAGATAGTGAAACGTGGGCCCATCTTTGCTCTGTACAACTGGATCTTCTTCCTGCGTGCGTGCACACGTGTGCTCATGTGTGTGTGCAGGTGCACAGGCCTGTCTGTGGAGGACAGGGGATGACATCAGCTGTCCTGCTCTATCCCTCTCACCTTATTCCCTGAGACCGGATCTCTTATTGAACTCTGAGCTAGGCTTGCAACTAGCAAGCCCCAACAATCATCCTGTCTCTGCCCCACCTTCCCCCGCATGCCTGCCTTTTTACATGGGTTCTGGGCATTTGAACTCGGGTCCTCGTGCTTAGGTAGCAAGCACTCTTACTCACTGAGCCATCTCTCTAGCTGCCTGAATCATCTTCCTTTGACTTGGTCTTAGGTGAGAGCTCACTTACCAGCTGTCTTTTTTTCAGTCCTATTTCTTGAGTCACTTTGAATTTCTACTCACAACTTTTTTGCACCTTTGGTTAGAGAAATGCCATAAAAACTGTGATCAGATTCCAGACATGGTGGTGCACACTTGTAATCTTAGCATGTAGAAGGCAAAGATGGGAGGAATTAGAAATTCAAGGCCAGCCTCAGCTACAAAGTGAGTTCCAGGCCAGACTGAGCTACATGAGATCACGTCTCAAACAAAACAAAACAGAATAAAGCAAAACAAAGCATATGAAAGCTTTTGCTCGTTCAATCCCTGTGAATGCAGCTGTTGTTTTAAGTGGCATTAACAGGTCTACAAAACAAGGCCCTGTCTCAAAAAATTAACAGACAAAACAAGAAACAAGTTGTCTGATCAAGCAAGCAGTAACTGCAGAAGAGAGCAAAAGCCAACTTTCTGGGGGACATCTCTTCTCCTGTCCTTGTCCGTGGTCTTTACCTGGTGATTCCGCCCTCCTCCATGTCTCCTTCCTCTGTCCTTCCATCTCTCCCTGCTGCAGTCCCACAGCATAACAAATACAGAAAAATATTAAGGAAGTGGAAACCACACAGTGTCACTCAAACCTCAGGAACCGGAAGCACGTCTTTTCTTATTTGGGGAGTTTACTTGAATATTTTTCTCCCGTCCCGCCTTTTTTTTAATTTTCCTTTTCCTTTTTGCAGAGTAAGTTAGTGTGGAGTGAACAGTTTCCTGTGTGGGCTTTTCCACTTCATTCTCACGTCAAAGACATTTTTTTCATACCCGTAGTTCTTTGAGCATCATTGTTCGTGGTTACCTCACTTGTCTTTTTATTTCTTTGTTTTGAGACAGAGTCACCCTGTATAGCCCAAGCTGGCTTTAAAGTCAGTGTTCTGCCTGCCTCCACCTCCCAAGTACTGGGATTATGGGGGGCGTGTGGCCACCAGGCCAGGTTCTACTAGGCTCAACCTCACTACCTGGGGAGGATCACTTTGAAAGCTTGAAACTTAGGTCTCTACCTCCCAAGTGCTGGGATTATAGGTGAGTACCACCACGCCTGGTCTATTTCTGCTTGGAACCCAAACCAGGGATATGTTATGCAAGCACTCTACCAACCGAGCTATATCCTGGCTCCCCACCCCCTCTTTTTAAATATTTTTATTTACTTACACTTGTGTATGTATGTGCATGCATGTATACACAGCACACACAGGGTGGGCAAGAAGACAATTTATGAGAATCAATTCTCTTCTGTGTGGGTTCCAAGGATCAAACTCAGGTTATCAAGTTTGCCAGCAAGTACCTTTACCTACTGAACCATCTCATCTGCCTTTTTTCTTTTTGTTTTTCTTTTTGACACAAGGTCTCGAGTAATACAGGCTGGCCTTGAACTTGTTATATAGCTTGAGGTTGACCTTCAACCTTGAGTTTGACTTTGACTTTGACTTTGGGGTTGATCCTCCTGCCTCTACCTCCCAAGTGCTGGGGTTACAGGTGTATGCCATTGTGCATGGCCCCTACCTACCCTTTGAGGTATGGTTCACATCTGTGTTCCCTGTGTTAAAAGTCACTCTGTTGACTGACATGGCATCTATGAGACTTCTGGAACCTTCCATTGGTGCCCTCTTTTGGGAAAAACATGTGGCAATTATCTTGATTCAACTCTGATTAATTCTGTCTTGAGTCTCCTTAGCTCCCCACACATAGGCCTGGCAGCCATGAGGTTGTACGTGTGCGTGTGCACATTCTACACCCACTACAATGTTCTGGAATCAAATGGAAGAGGATAGTTTGTAGGAAAGACCCAGAGGACTAGGGGACAGTGTTTC